CTCTAGCCTACTTGCAAGAAAACACCTACTTGGCACAAACTTACTGGTGTCTTTTGTGCAGCTGCCACCTCCGGAGGACCCCTCTCCTCCCCCAAATATGAACACACACATACAAAAATAGAGTTCCCAGGTGTTAGGAGGTAGTGGCAGACAAATCTTTGTGAGCTCCAGGCCAGCCTGATCTACATTGTGAATTTCAGTCAAGTAGGGGTTACAGAGAGAAAGAGACCTCGTCTTAAAAGGACAGGGCTGGTGGTGGTTTGGAGAGACGCCATTAGTGATTAAGCTTCCAGTGGACCCAAGTGCAGTTCCCAGCACATACATTAAGCAGGTCGTAACTGCTTGTAACTCCAGCTCCAGAGGATTTGATGATCTCTTCTGGCCTCCACAAGGACCTGCACACATATACACACAAATAAATAAATCCTTAAAATATATCTAAAAAAAAGACTTTCTAATAAAAAAGTTTGCCTCCAAAATACAAAATTCTCATAGGACTTTATTATGATAATGAATTAATAATTAGTCTATTATAGATAAACAATGAGAATTTAGTCTGTCCTAAAACATATTATGTAGCTGAGGATGACCTTGAACTCATGACCCTCCTGCCTCCAGTTGGGGAATGCAGAGATTACACATCTAGTATATACAGACAGAACTGATGCTGGAACCCAGGGCCTCCCACATACTACATAAGAACTTTGCTGTGAGCTCCCAAACCCCTAGAGAGGTCACAGGCAACTGCCAACAGGTCACACAAAAGTGAATTCAAGAACCAGCCTGCCTCCACCTTGGGCTTAAAAGCCATCTTATAGTAAAGACCAACTAGGTTCATTCCTGTTTGTGATTAAATCGCTGTTTCTCAAGGATTGGGCTATGCCCTACCTGTAACCTTAACTACAAATGGTTCTGTATTGCCTGTTCTAGGAATGACAATTGTGACTTTGTTTCAAAAAGTTATATATAACCAACTGGCAACCCTACCTTTGTTTCCAAAGATTATATGACTACTTTGTTATGCCCGCCTTGGAATCATGCCTTTGTTTCAGGGGGGTTGAATGTTTATGTTCTGCCCCTGTAACTCTATTTTGTTCACCGAATTCCCCATTCAGAAACTCCCTACCCCTGAGCTGTAAAAACCTTGTCTTCTTCACATCCAAGGGTTTCCTCTTAAACCCCGCCTTAGGGAGAGGAAACCCAAGTACTTGAATTGAAAAACTTGCTTTAATGAATTGCTTACTTTAATTAATTTGGCCATGACGGTTTGGGTCGGTGCTCTTTCTCCTTCCATCTTTCAGAAGAACGGAAGTAGGCTCTGTTAAGAAAATACCAGCTCAAGGACCACTTATATAGTTCAGCGGTTGAGCCCTTGGGTAACACGCATGAGGCCCCAACTTAAGTCCCTAGTACTTCAGAGAAAATCAGAGCTTGGGTGCTAGGAATACAGATTAGTGGCAAAGTTCTTGTTTACTATGCTCAAGGCGGGAGGGAGGACGAGAACACTACGTTAGGTTGTGACAGCTATAGTATCAAAGGCAGTAATAGGGAGTAGAGGGGCCTGTGTAGGACGCGGCTTCTGTGGCGTTTATAGCAATGCCATTCAAGAATGCAGGCTTCCGTTGTGAAGTCGATGCCTTCCCCAAGAAAGTCAGAAATGACAATTTCAGGTGCGAGCGTAACTTTTTTTTTTTTTTTTTTTTAGCTACTTAGTTTCAGTCAGTGTTAAGTCCAAAAGAAACGGGACCAATGGCTAACTGTGGTGCCTATTAGCATACCAAAGCGAATGCTGGCTTCCAAGCCTGTGTGTAACCGTGGCTTTTCTTGGCTCCTCACCCTGCCCCCTACCCTAACCTACTCTAGCTCAGAACTGCTCTTCCTCCAGCTTCTCGTCATTTCGGCCATTTGCTCTTTTGGCCCCCCTCTCTTTTACCGCTTTCTCTGGGTGGATTCTTTTGTCTTTCTCTCTTTCTCTTCCTCTCTGAACATCCCTCCCTTATGACAGTGTTGGGTTTACTACTTTCTCTCCCTGCTCCGACTCTTCCAGCTGTCTCTGTCTGGACCCTCCCTCATATCTACAAATAAAAACCTTCCCTCCAACCGTACCTTGCAGCAGCCATGCCCTTACTTTATATACAGTTAATTACTTGTTTTTGCAATGTTGGAAGGGAACCCACGGCTCCTTGCACGGTAAACGTGCACAATGTTGACAGCTAATAGAGCACCATCGCCCCAGCTCTGGAATTTGGTATGTTGACAATTAATTAAAAATCTTTTGGGGGCTTAGGGTGTAGCTCAGTGGTAGAGCACTCCCCTAGCATGGGTAAGGCTCAGGGTTTGAATCCCAACACGCAGGCAGGAAATTGGCGGGTCTCACAGCGCCCTCTGGTGGTCTCAAGGCCCCTTGCTGGTAGCGTGGCCGAGGTCCCCAGCCCTGGCGTCAATCCTGGAGAGTGTTGGGCGGGAACCACAGACCTGGTGCCCTCCCCAGCAGTAGAGTGGCGCAGTGGCTGAGCGTCGTTTGAGTCCTGAGGCTCCTGGTTTCTACTGCCGATTTCAAGGCAACTCAGCCGTCCGGCTGGGACTGTTTCATTGAAGACCAGTGCCACGTGTTTTTAGAGATAAAGTTTTTATTAGTGGGAGGAGAAATGTGACCTTCAGCTGATGGCACGAATCCCTCCGTGTGGATGCCAAACGCCTGTCCACGGCTGAAATTGGTGTGGGTAGATTGAGGCACCGAATGATCACTGAAGGTGAGGGTGAGGGGAGGGAGAGGCACAGGGAAATGTCCAGGTGGGATGGTTACGAGCGTCCACTCTCTGTTCCTTTCTCTCTCTTTCTGGAATGGCCAGCCACCTCCCAGGATATAGGGGTTAGGAATCACCTTGAACCCCTCTGAAAGTCTTTTTTTCTTTTTTAAATTTATTATTATTTATTTTTTTATGCCTGTATGTCTGCCTGCAGGCCAGAAGAGGGCACCAGATCTCATCATGGGTGGTTGTGAGCCACCATGTGGTTATTGGGAATTGAACTCATGGAAGAGCAGCCACTTCTTTTAACCCCTGAGCCATCTCTCCAGCCCCCCCTCTGTAAGACTTTAGTGTCTTCCTGGCTGTCAGTGCTGTTCACACCAGAAACTACAAGACAGTTGTCTTGCATTTTTAGGGTTTTTTTTGTTTTTGTTTTTGTTTTTTTGAGACAGGGTTTCTCTGTAATTTTGGAGCCTGTCCTAGAACTAGTTCTTGTAGACCAGGCTGGCCTTGAACTCACAGAGATCCGCTTGCCTCTGCCTCCCGAGTTCTGGGATTAAAGGCGTGCGCCACCACCCAGCTACATTGCATTTTTGTTTGATTTTTCAAGATTGAAGCCAGGACCTTGTGCTTGTAAGGCACACTCCATGAGGGAACAAAACCGTAGGTTGCATTTAATTTTAATCATTTAACATTAAATTTTTATTTTGAAGTAGAAAATTTGTTGATTTAATCTAATCAACTGGTATGTCAAATGAACTTCGATTCACTGCATTTTTTTCCAGTTGAACAAATATTCAATTTGGTTACTGGAAAGCTTCATGGATGGAACAGTTTGAGGGTGTGAATATTGTTATGACTAAATGTAATGGACTCTAAATCAAGTGTTTTCAGTGCCAAGGTGTGCTTGTGAAATCAGAGGCTAACTTACAGGAGTCAGATCTCTCTCTCTCGGAAAATAAATGCATATGTTAAATAGTTATTTTAATTCAGGGTTGAGTGTTTAGTCTGTGTGCATGTATGTGTGTGTATCGCATACACGTCTGGTACCAGAAGAGGTCAAAAGAGGGCCTCGGATTCCCTGAAACTGGAGTTATGGATGGTTGTACGTCATCATGTGTGTGCTGGGATTTGAACCGGGATCTTCTATGAGAGTAGCAAGTGCTCTTAACTGCTCAGCCATCTCTCTAGCCCCGGGTTCTCTCTTTCTTCCATAGAGGTCACTGGGATCCACCTCAGACACCAACGCTTGGCAGTGGTCACATTTACGTGCTAAGCCATTTTGCTGGCCATGAATTAAGCACTAAAGTTCTCACAGGGTTCAGTGACTTGGTACAACAGGATGGAAAATGCCATGGAGACAGTGTGGGGGCTCACACTCGTAATGCCAGTACTTGGAAGGCGGAGGCAGGAGCGTCATGAATGCAAGACCAGCCTGAGCTACCCAGCCAAGTTCAAGGCTAGCTTGGGCTAAGTAGTGAGAGTTTGCTTTTAAACATGTAAAATGCTTTATCATTCATTTCCAACTGAAAGAGAATTTTGCTCTTAGTAAAGTTTATATGGGATGTGGGTGCAGTTCAGTTAGTAGTGTGCTTGCCTAGCATGTACAAAGCCCTGGGTTTGATCCCCAGCATTGCCTAAAATCAGGTGTGGGGCTTGCTGCCCAAGCAAGATGACCTGAGGTCGTATCCCTAGCACCCACATAAAAATCCAAGCATGGCCCCACATACATGTTACTCTAGCCCTGGGAGAGGTAAGGAGATAGGATCATTAGGGTTTGCTGGCCACCACCCTAGGGAAAAACTAGTGAGTTCCAGGTTCAATGAAACACCCTGTCTTAAGGGCATGGGATGGGAAATGGTAAAGAAAGGGTATACCCACGCCGTCCTCTGGCCTCTGTGTACGTGTGTGTGCACGCACGCACACCCACGCCCACACAATACCAGGTATAGTGCCACACAGGTAAACCCAACACTAGGGCGGTAGAAGTAGGAGGATCAGTTTATTCAAGGTCATCCTCAAGTACAAGTTGAAGGACAGCCTGGGATACTGGAGACCCTGTATTTAAGAAAACAAAGGTTGGGCCAAGTAGTGGTGGCACATGCCTTTAATTCCAGTACTGGAGGCAGAGGCAAGTGGATCTCTGTGAGTTCGAGAACAGCCCGGTCTACAAGAGCTAGTTCCAGGACAGCTAGGGCTATTACACTGAGAAACCTTGTCTCAAAAAACCAAAAAGAAAAGAAAAGGATAAAGAAGAAAAAAGAAAATGAAGGTTGGAAAGATGGTTCATCAGCTAAGAACACTTACTGCTCTTGCGGGAGAGTTGGGTTCAGTTCTCAGTACCCACACAGCAACTTAAAACCATCGGTAACTCCAATCCCTAGGGATTCAACGCCTCTTCTGACCTCCATGGGCTTCTGCACACACATCATGCATTTACATACAGTCAGGCACATACACATAAAATTTAAATGTGTTTTAAAAGTATATTCAGCTGGGTGTGGTGACCTGCCTTTAATCCCAGTACTTAGGAGGCAAAGGCAGGTGACTCACTCTCCATGAGTTTGAAGACAGCCTGGTCTATATGGTGAGTTCTGGGCAAGAAAGAGCTCTACCTAGTGAGACTCTGTCTTAAACAAACAAACAAACAAAAAATGAAGATTGCTCATGATTTAAATTAACATTACCTGTTTCTTTGCCTTTTTTCCCAAGGTGGTTTCTAGAAAATGGGAAGTTTCACTTGCGCCTTGCCATGGATTCCTCTTAAGCCCTCTAGTTCCAAGTGTGGCCCTTCAGGGCCTTGCCTACTTTCTGGAGCTGTTCCTGTTGCCTGGCTCTGGGTAGGCTGAAGGGGAGGCACCCTCTTGTCGGGGACCAAGGGGTTGAGAGTAGCTGTCCCCACATCTATGGGTTCTGGAGCAGGCAGTCCACAGGGACTGCAGGCCAGAGTGAAGTTAGCCTGCAGTACGAGCAATGATACAAGCCACCCTCAGCATGAAGACCTCTTCCACTAGCAATGAAGAGAAGAACTTGGGGCTAAGAGACTGTGGTAGTTTGAATATAACTGGCCCCCACAGTCTCATAGGGAGGGGACTATTAGGAGGTGTGACTTTGTTGGAGTGGGTATGGCCTTCTTGGAGGAAGCGTGTCACTGTGGGGGAGCTTCCCTATGCCCAGGATACTGCTCGGTGTCTCAGTCTTCTTCCTGTGGCTTGCGAGATGTAGCCCTCTCTGCTCCAGCACATCTGACTGCACGGGGCCATGTTTCCCATCATGATGAGAATGACTGAACCTCTGAAACTGGAAGCGAGCCACCCCAGTTAAATGTTTTCTTTATAAGAGTTGCTGTTGACACAGTGATTCTCCACAGCAGTAAAAATCCTAACGAAGACAGAGATAGACCCAGTTTTTGTAACTAGATCTCAAAACCAGGGCTTGGTCACAAGGACTAAGCAGGGTGTTCCAAGCCCTGCTAAGCATTTTGGGTAGGAGTCATAGCTGGAGATCCCAGGGAAGAAGGTAGATAGGGTTCTCAGCCTTACCAAAGCCACACCCACCTGGATGTGACCTCCCAACACACCCTGTTCTCCCCTCTCAGTCTCACCCATTGTACTTCCTGTGACTCTGAACCTACCTGCGACTGTATCCTACAGGCAGCCATGCTCTTCTCCAAGTGGCAGCCATGAGTGTGAGGCTGAAGACTTGGGTTCAAAGTTGAAGGCAGATAGGATGTACGTAGATTTCTGGTGGTCCCGTACCACCAACTTCCCCTAGCTCCAACACCAAGGTTATGCAAGTGACTGGCTCTCCTGGCTAAATTCCACCTCTGTCCCAATGCTTGATCCACTAACACACAAAATCAGGTCAGAGTGCTGGCGCAGCCCTCAATAAAGAAGACAGCTTCCTCCCCTCACAGGGCAGGCTCTGTGTACCCTGCAAACAGGACAAAGTCCAGGCTACCTGGCCCTGTGAAGCAAGCCCTACCTTGTAATTGGCTTTGTGTTTTTGAGACAGGGTTTCTCTGTGTAGTCCTGGATGTCCTGGAACTCACAGATTCACCTGCCTCTGCCTCCCAAGTGCTGAGATTAAAGGTGCGCGCCGCCACTGGCCAGCCGTCATTGGCATTTTAAAGCACAGATTGCGTTTGCATCTTCAGTGGTCAGTGGCCGTTACCGTCTAGCTGAAGTTTGGTCCTTGCTTCTTGCAGAAAAAGAGGAGCTCACTGATATTGCAGGCCCAAAGCAACCACATTTGGTTCCTTTAGAGGCTCTCCTGAAGATTTGCTTTTACAAGCCAGGAACTCTTTGGAGGCAAACACTTGAACAGGAGAGAAACCATGACACAAATCTCAACAAAGATTTGCCTGAAAGCCAGTGAAGGTCTGGGTTAGCTCTGCTTAAACACACACATATGCATACACGTCCGCACCCTCTATTGTATATCAAAACCATGCTGTCTTTCAATTAAAAAGAGAATCTCCTTTTAAATATTTACTTCTGGGACTGTAAAATGGTTCAGTGGGCAAAGTATTTTGCTACCAAACCATATGACCTAAGTTGGATCCCCTAGGTCCACATGGTGGATGAAGAAATTGACTCCCACAAGTCGTCCTGACCTCCATACATGTGCTGTGGTATGTATGCGCCACCATAAGTAAAAAGTAAAAATAAATAAATAAACAAATAAATCTATTTAATACTGGCTTCCACTCCCCCAGATATTTTCCAGTTCCAGACATGGGCTGTGAAGAGATCACCTGGGCCTGGAGGACTTTTAGGGGTATTTTATTTACTCAGACTCCCTCCTCACCAGACCCCCATGAAGACAGTGTTAGAGAAGAAAAGGAAGACTATTCTGTTTCTATCAGATACCAGTGAGGCACTGTCTGGTTTAATTAGATCTAAGGAGCCAGGACTCATGTCAAAAGCAGAGGAACTACCATTGCATTCCAGGTTAGAACCCCAGGACCTAGTGGAGCTGGTGGTCAGGTCCTCACATGTGGCTCTCAGGGACCCCTGCCTTCCTCCAGGTCTCCACCCTTCCTTCTTTCCTCCGGAAGGGTCCCACAAGGCCATCTCTGGTGAAACCCAAGTCCTGCTGTCCGCTGGGAAACAGTACTAAGATGGACGGCAGGATGCTGTTTCTTACACCTGTTTTACCAGCTGGGAAACAAAACCCAGGCTCAGTACACCGACCTTTGCAACCAGTGACAAGACAGCAGACAACTCAGACCACAGCTAATGCGAATGGTGTGCGAATCACCCTTTTAGAGCAGAGGCGACAAACTCAAAAGGCCCTGAGGTACAGTAGGGATGGGGTTCTAAGTGAAGGACGGAGAGGAAGGTACAGCCTTCCTCACCCAGGAAACCCAGCTGATTTAAATGTGCTGTTTCCTAAGTTTCAAACATGGGTAACAAATACAAAAGATTTTTAACTCTGTAACTTCCTAGACAAATTCCCAGTTTAAATTTCAAGCCCCTTTTCTTGCTCAAATAATGGAACTCAACCGAATGATCACATAGGATTGCATAGGTCAACATTGTAACAAAAATATAGCAGCTTCAGATACACCAGTCTTCCCATTTAAAAACAAAATCAAGCTGGGCTGTGGTGACACACACCATTAATCTCAGCATGGGAGGCAGAAGCAAGCAGATCTCTGTGAATTTGAAGCCAACCTGGTCTACAATAGCTAGTTCCAGGACAGCTAGGACTGTAACACAGAGAAATCCTGTCCTGAAAAACAAAACAAAAAACCCCCAATAAAACCAAAATCAAGTCAAATTGATAATTCAAAATTGCTTTTCTTTTTTTTTTTTTTTGAGACAGGATCTCGTGTAGCCCAGGCTGACCTCCATCCAATTCATATTGTAGCTGAAGGTGAATTTGAATTTCAGATCCTCCTCTCTCTACTTCCCAAGAACCAGGATTACAGGCGTGTGCACCTCTTCCAGATCATATAGCTGTGGGGATCAAATTAGCATGCTAGACTCTCTCTAACTAACTGAACTATACCCCAGCCTCTAGCTCACACGTGAATAAAATATGCTAACTGGACCACTTCCCACGGGGCAACCTTGCATTATTAAAATGAGTCTGCTTCCACCTCACGCCAGGAAGATGCCAATCCCTCTGCACCTCATGCTCTCTCCACGAGACTGAGAGGGAACAGGATTAGGCTGTGGATCACCAAGAAGAAACTGAGGCACAGAGCAGGGAGGGTCCCCTCCCTTGGTGCTGTCACAGAAAGAGTTGAAATGATGACTCAAAGGTGTGTATCTCCTCACAGGGAGCTACGCCAAGCACAGCACAGTTGGGTATCTGCAGAGTGGAACACAGTTGAATATGTAAGTCTATCCACTTCCCTCTGACAATGCTTTTCTCACATCAGGGAAAACTAGTAGGGCCCTTTCCCTTCCAAAGACTGATTTCTCCAGGGGCAGGCAAGGCCAAGAGGCAATTCCCAGTTGCCTCTGCGTGAACCCTCTGTGACTCAAAGCCTCAGAAGGAAGATTCCAGAATACTTGGGCTAGGACTTGAGCTCTAACATAAGTCGGGGAACTGAACACCCCAATACCCTGGCTTTCCTTGTCCTTGGTGCTCTAGGCAGCTCCCAGAAAACTTTTCCACAGAGGATTTGGCACAGTAATCAGTGTCTACACGGGAAAGACTGAGGCCCCTTCTTCTCACAGCATGCAAGGCGCTTTCGGTTCTGGCCCTGCAACACACAGGTCATTTCGGCTCTGACCTGACAGGCCCCCTCACGGCAACAGTCGGGTCTTGAGTTTGGCTTGTTCTGGGGACCAAGGACCCAGGAAAGCCAAGGGGATCTCTTTACAGACTGACAGGGAGAAGGGATTGGCTCTTTCATCTCTCGAAACTGTCACAACTGGTATTCTGAGAAAATAGATTATTTGGGGTTGGACCGTCCTACAGGCTGTGAGATGCCCACTAATTGTCCCCACACAAGTTTCCAGTATTGCCTGGAGGTGCATCCTAGTCCCTGGTGGAAAGCCACTGGGCTGGCAGCTTCCTGGGAAACAGAAGCCCCAGACAGAGTGGCAAGTCTGCACAGCGGTGCAGTGTCTCCTTGGCTCTGAGAAATGAAGGCACAGAGAGACAGGATCACCTTGCTCACAGAGAGAAGAAACACTAAGTGTGGGGCAGGTCCCATGGGCCTTGCTGCCTCACTGGCAACAGTGAAAGCGGCAGTCCCCAAGCAAGTGGGGTCTCTGTGGTCAGTCAGCCACCAGCTGCCGAGGTCAACACTGTGACATGGAAGCCCACTGAGAAGGTCCAGACCCCAGTGTGTAGGTTAGGGCCAGTCCAGGGGTTCAGCCTTCATCTTGTGTCCTCCAAGGGCTCAGATGGCATGCGGACAACTCCATCCTGGGCTCTGGCTCCACTCCCTCGGTCTTCACAGTCTCCATTGGGACACATGGCTGTCAGTGCAAGCTCCTCCTCCGAGACCTGGAGGTGTTCTGGAACATTCGAGAATAAAAAGATCAAGTTTATGAGTCAATATCCAGCACTTAAAGGGAAGAAGTTGGTCCAAGATCTACGTTTAAAGCCAAAATGGACTTTTTGGATGTCAGATGGCTCGGCAGGTAAAGGTTTTGGCTGCCAACGCCGACAACCGGAGTTTGAGTCCCAGGACCCACATGGTGGAAGCAGAAAACCAGCTCCCTCAAATTGTCTTGTGACCTCCACAAGCACGCCATGGCATGTGCACACTGGAAATGTAAAAAGCCAAGCAAAATACAGGCCTAAAACTATTTTAGAATAGGGACCCCCCCTTTGACCCAACAAGCCCACTTTCAGCTGTGTCTGCAAGGACATGCTTAGGAGTGATCTCCACACTCCTGCTGCCATCTCAGTACCGGTCTAAGGGTGAAATGATGGGTCCGCGGAGAGAAAGAAAAGTCCCAGGTCCTTATGGGGTCTGTGAGATCCTGGGACGACACTGACCAACTCTAATGCCACCGCCACTGTTTTTATGAGAGATAGTGAGGTCTCTTACAGCTTATACTGGTTGAGTCTTGGCTTCCCCACCTGCAGCTGGAACTGTGCAACTGATCCTCAGCATCGAGAAAAGTCATGAGGCAAACAACCTAGGGTTTCTATGTATGCTGGGGCTCTGCATTAAGAATGGGGCTGGGGACACAGCTCAATGGGTAGAGTGCTTGCCTAGCACACATTAATCCTAGGTCCAAGCCCTAGCACCACATAAACCGGGAGTGATGGTGCCTGCCTGCAGTCCCAGTACTTGGGAGGTGAAGGAAGAGGATCAGAAGGTCAAGGTCATCCTTGGAAACACTTGAGTTCAAAGCCAACCTAGAATATATGAAACCCTGTCTCAGAAACAAAACAACATGTATAAAATTGTCAAGGAATACATAAAGATCATTTTAAAAACAAAACCAAATAAAACAACAACAAAAGGTTGTGCATGTAGCTCAGAGTGAGGTTGTAGGTCCATCTCCCAGAATCACAAAAAGGTGCTTTGTTTTGTTTAAAATGAAAGATGTTGTATAAAATTCTATAAAACTAAACACCCACACACACATGTACTCAGCAGTAGAAAGTACTTGTTACTATTACAGAGAATTGGGTTCAGTTCCCAGTCAGTAACCACATGGTGGCTCACAAAAGTCAGGAACTACAGTTTCAGTGGATCTAGCGCCCTCTTTTGGCCTCAGTGGGCACTATATGCACATGGTACATATACATACATGGAGGCAACACACATACATAAATAAATACAGTAAAGCAAGTGCTCTCATAATGTTCACATTCTATTAGGGATTATATATAATACAGAGATGACTGAGATGCACAGGAGGATGTACATAGGCTAAACATACGCACGGTGACCCCTCGTTTCTCTTGTGTGTGGTATGTGCATATGTGCATGTCTTTTCATGTATGTGGGTGCATTTGTGTGGGTGCCAGTACACAAGTGAGTGTCTGTGCATGCATACATGCACATACGCGTGGTGTCTCCCCTGAGGTTGACGTCAAGAGTCCTCCTCCATTGCTCTTCCACCTTATCCATTGTGGAAGGGTCTATCTAGCAAACCCAGAACTTGTAAGTATGACCAGTTTTGCTAGTTTGCCTGTTCTTGGTTCCTCTGCTTCCTCTTCCTCCCTCTGAGGCTGGGATTATAGGCCTACTGGCACACTCTCTTGGTCTTTAGTGGGTTTTGACACTCCATCTTCATCCTTGCCTGGCAATCGATTTAACCACTGAGACATCTCCCCAGAACTGCTACTCTATTATTTTATATAAGAGCTTTGAGCATCTTCAGTTTTGTCATTTTTATATTTACTTATTTAGTGTGGTGTGTGTGTGTGTGTGTGTGTGAGAGAGAGAGAGAGAGAGAGAGAGAGAGAGAGAGAGAGAGAGGATGACTTTTGGGGTGTCAGTTCTCTCCTTTCCCAATATAGATTCTGGGAATCAAACTCAAGTTTTCAGTCTTGGTGGCATGCACCTTTACCCACTCCATCCTCCTAGCTCAGTGTGTGTGTTTTAAGCCACTGTTTGTGGCAAATTATTAGGCATTGAAAGAAGGCTGCTAGGTCAGTGAAGGGTCAGTTTTAAATAAGGGACACAATAAAGGCTTATTTTGTGCCTCCACTCACTGTTTGTGCCCTGCTCTATCCCTGCCTCCATTTACCAGCAAGATGACCCTACCCCGGAAACCACTCTGGGTGAGTTACCTCCTTTCTAGTCTCCCAGCCTTTGTGGATGAGGTCACCCGATATCCCTTTAGGGACTGCTGTGGTCCTCTCTAGCTGGATCTGCCTCTGATCTCTGTGTTTCCACAGGCTGTCATCTTTATGCTTGTGTCTAAGACCCTGTGCCCCTGAAGGGCATCCTGGCCCCATGTGGCCCAGCTCTCCACTTCAAGACCTTCCTTTGCCATCTGCACCTCAGCCCTGAGCACCCTTGAGGGGGCTTCCTTTTCTGAATATGATATCTGCTAGCAACCGTTGCTCAGGGTGCTCTCTGCATCTTCCTATGTCTGCATACAGGAAGCCCTGTATCTCAGCTGAAATGCCACTAGCTCCTTAACACTCATGTTCTTCGGGGGCCACTGGCCTGTCCTCACATCCCCCACTATGCACGTGGAATTCCTGTCCTCCAGCTCTCTTCCTGCCTTCACCAGGTTGGAGGACTCTTAGGGCAGGAACCCTGCCTGAGCCAGCCTGAGCCCTGCTTGGAGGGACAGGCAACCGAGTGCTCCTGTCATTCTCAGCACGGAGGAAGTGTGTCCTTAAGGCCCCTGTATCAGGATCCAGGCAGCCAATGTGCTTACCTTGAGCTGGGCCTTGGGAGGAGGTGGCATATCCTTGGTTCTTCCTCTGGTTCCGAGGACCCCAGGAAAAGCAAGTCAGTAGGCCAGGGAGGCCTGGTCTTTCCCAGGCACCTTCTGCTAGAAAGAGTCCAAATCCCCAAGGCAGAGGTCAGCTAGTGCCTGCTCCAAAACCAAGAGACTTTCTTCAGCAACCCAGGAGTCTTGACTTTCTACCTCCCTGCTTTCATCTGTCTGGTTATCTTACTTCAGCCTCACAGATTTCTGTGATATGTGTACATGCTGGGGGAACCATAGCAACAAAATGACATGAAATCAATCACAATCGCATACCACCAAAGAAACCTCTCAGAGAGCAGTCGTTTCTCCCTCAGTTTTAGTTCAAACCCCGCCTTCTTTCCTTGATTCCCTACCCCAATCCTTCATTTGTTTGTGCATCCATCCTTTTGTTTGTTTCTGAGACAGGATTTCACTATGTAGTCTAGTTTGTCCTTGAACTTTCCATCCTCCTGCCTCAACCTCCCAAATGCTGGGATTACAAGGTATGCATCATTGTGCCTTGCTTCAAACTATTTCAGAACACCAATAGATTAATTTTTTTTTTAATGACAGGGTCTCATTTCTTAGCCCCAGCTGGCCTGACACTCACTATGTAGGCCAGGATGGCCTCAAACTCACAGAGATCTGTCTGCCTCTGCCTATAGCTGCTAGGATTAAAGGCGCGGCTTACCACGCCTGACTTCCATAAACTGTTGTAAAAAAGCTGCAAGGAAATGCATGCACAAGGAGTTATAATTAACTCATGTCCTTGAAGTTTTTGTTTTTCTTAGTGTGTTGTTATAAAAGCTGGCAAGAGTCGGATATAGCAGAAGATGATACATCTGCTAAGGTGCCATTTTCCAATGTGTCAGTGCTTATTTCAAAGCAAGGATTTAGTCATCCATTTTGGATGCCAGGCAAGGGAGTTAGGAAACGGGAATCCTTGGGTTGTTAAACTCACAAGAGAGCAGTGATGAAACCATTTGGTCTTTGCTGAGAGAGCCAAAGATCAAAGATTCTGCATTTCACTAGTGAGTTTGCGGGCAGGAGGGAGTGCAGGCTTTTCAGAAGGCGCCCCGTTTGAATGGAGGGGTGGGGCGAGCTATAGAAGGAAGAGAAGACTGGGCTGGGTCACAGTCAGGTGCACAAAACCATGGCCAGAGTTAAGCGTGCCTGGGGCAACTGAGAGCTAAGAGAAAGAAGGTTTAGAGTTTTCTAGGTGCCAGCTCATTAGTCTAGGGAGAATTTGTGTGAATTCCCTTCTTTCCCTCAAGACCAAGTAAGGAATCCGCTGGCTGGATATGCTCAGAACAGGAGTATACACGAGGAATTTATTTCCCTCACTTTTCAGGATGCTGGAGGTTGTTCATCCTCCATAGAAGGCAAGTTGACCAGAAGCTAGGGGAGCCTCCAATGATAGAAATTTGCCAGGCTGGCAGGCGCAAGTGTGACGTTTGGAACGTCAGATAGTGTCTCCCCGCTGAGATAGGTCTGATGTCTCCCAGTGGCTGACTAATGGCCAATAGCAGATGCCCTGCACCGCCCCCCCCCCCCCCCCAGCCACTTATTAAAGAGTCAAACGGAAGGGAGCTGATCAGTGCAAAGATCTCCCAGAGTCTGCCCCAGCTCCACTGAAGGTCCACATTTTAATCCCACTATACCGCGGAGTTCCTGCAAAACCTGCTGCCCCGGGACACCTGACCCGGCTGTAATGGAAGAGTCTCCGGCTGGGAGAAGCTCTCACTCCTTTCTACACTTTAAGCGTGTGTGGAAGAAAAAAGGTGACCCCGCCACGCCTGGCAGCAGCGATCAGCGTAGGCGGGAAGCCAGGAATCACCGAGGTCACCATGGTCTCGGTCTCTTGCGCTTGCTTACCAACACCAGGTTCCTGGCACCTATTTCGTGCCTCTGCCAGGAACTGTGTCCGCCTTCCACCCTTCCACACAGAGATTCTCGGCGCTGCTCACGCTCTCCCCCAACTCCTGCGACAACCATGCCTGCACCGTGCCCTAAAGCTCCAGTCACCACCCTCAGCCCGTCTCAGTTCTTCACCATCCCCCAAGCACACCACCCAAACTTTTGCACCCCGAGACGTTTCCATCTTCTTCCGCTATCCTCAGTTTCCTACAACTTGTACATTTTGTTCAAAACAGTTCAACTCTATCCACTTACTGACCAGCTGAACCCTAGGCTCCTTGTCCTCCATTTCACTGGCAGTCTGGATTGACACAACTTCTTTCTAGAATCAGGTCACCTTAGGCTCAAAGGCCTTGTGCTAGGGACTTCTCTGCTCCGGGTCTCAGTTTACTATGGTGCACAACAGAGTTGGGTGGCCCAACGGGGTTCAACCGGACTAAAGGAACTGAAGTCTTCCCCTAGACGCCTTCACCGGTACCCAGCCCGATCCCGCGCAGCCTCACCTGGTCGACCTGGCCCGGCAGCTTGCAGGGCCCTGCAGGCCGCCTCCTGGACCGCCAGGCAGGAGGCCGGGGAGCCGAGACGGAAGGCGGCAGCTTGCACCGGGCCCCCGACCTGGCGGCCGAACACCGAGCGCAGCAGCGTCTCCAGCAGCTGCAGTCCTGACACCACCGCGTCCTCCGTTCCCGCGTCGGCCACCAGGACTCCGACCAGCGCTGCGCCCTCCGGTCTCCGGCTGCGCACATCCCGCAGCATCTCCCGCAGGAGGCGCCGCAGGTCCCGGGCGGCCAGCGATGAAGAGCGGCACAGCACGAAGACCAGCGGCGAGCGGATGGAGCGCGCTGCCTTTGCCCCCGGAGCCCGTTGCGGCCCGATGGCCGCCGCAGTGGCTGCGCTCTCGGCCTCTGTGTAGTGGCCCGGCTTACCGGGCTTCCCCGACTTGCCCGACGCTGGCTCCGGCTCTGGCTCCGGAGGGAACACGGCGCGGGAGAAGTCTCGCAGCAGCTCACGGCTCTGCTCGCGCTCCCACAGCTCTCCCACCAGCAGCACCTGCCCGCGGCCGCCCGCAGCCTCCACCAGCGCCTGGAAGTGCGGCTCGGCCGGGCTCGCCGGCTGCAGGGCCAGCGGCTCCAGCTCGCTCTCCATGCTGGCCTCCGCGTCCTGCGCGGGGCCCGGAGCTCCGCAGCCTCCTCTACGGACACGCCCCCGAGGGCCGAGCCTCCCCGACCCCCTGGCTCACTGGCTGCGTCCTGCGCTCTTCTGTCCCAGTTAGCTGAATATCATTCACTCATTCATTCGTTCATTCAGACACCCTTCCTGAGCACTTAGTAGGTTCGGGCTCTTGTGGGGCTGAGGGTGAGTGGACGTTAACGTATTCACAAACGTACCCCCTCAAGATAAGATGGTTTTGAACCCCGGAGCAGATTTATTTACTTTTCAAAAAGACTTATTTACTTACTTGATTTTATGTGTGTGAGTGTGTTGCTTGCGTGTATGAGCACTGGCACCAGCGGAGTTGTGAATATGTTCTGGGAATTCAACCCAGGTCCTCTGCAGAAACAGTCAAGTGCTCTGGATTGTGGAGCCATCTCTCTCTCCACCCTTTGCCAAAAGGCACGACTTCACCATCCTAGCCTAGAATCTGGAGATCCCTTAGTCTCAATGTGGAATTATAAACCTGTGTCACCGTTCCTAGCTTCTGGGTTAGGGGCTACTTTCCCAGTGGTGTAGGCTTTGGAACCGAGATGGTGCAGAAGAGTGAGTGGGCGAGGGAAGCGAAGCAGGGGTCCTAGTTTTTCATTTCTGTCGCTGTGATAAAAATACCCTTACCACAAACAACTTAGGGAAGGAAAGAAAGGGCTTATTTTAACCCGGTCGCAGCCCGTCACTGCAGGGAAGTGACAGAGGCAGGAGCTCCAGACAGCTGGCCACCATCACACCCACAGTCAACAGTGGAGAGCAATACACTCTCTTTTTGTACAACCACAGCAAGGAATAGTGTCACCCACATTCAGGCTGGTTCTTACCGCATCAATTAAGTCAATTGAGATGATCCCGGCCAACCCCCCACACTTGCTCACAAGCCAACTTGACTTCTGCATTGAGACTGGCTTCCTAGGTGATTCTAAATTGTGTTGGCAGTTAGAATTAACCATCACCTAGGGCATAGCTCCTCTACCGTGATCTCGTTTTCAGCCATTGACACTCCTTTCAAATGGACCAAGGCCACTATTTCCACAAATAGTTGTTGACTTCTGGGTACTGCCTGAGGTACTGTGGGACTGTTGTTCCCTATGGACCAGAATATGAGGCAGTGGTTCTCAACCCCTTTCACAGGGGTGGCCTAAGTCCATCGGAAACCACAGATATTTACATCGTGATTCATAACAGTAGCAACATTAATGTAATAAAGTAACAATGAAAATAATTTTATGATTGGGGGTCATCACAACATGAGGAACTGCATTAAAGAGTCGCAGTATTAGAAAGATTGAGAACCATTGATTTAGAGTTAGATGTGGGAGGCTGGCATGCTCTGGTGTTGGGTGTGTATGTGTAGGTGCGCATCTATGTATGTATCTATGTCTGTGTGTCTGTCTGTCTGAAAACCAGGTTAGAAGCAGGAACATATTTTCTATGATTTTCATGGACCAGGGCAGCTTTGTCCAAAGGAATGTCCTGTGAACTCTTTTTCCTGCCCTGTGCAAACGCGGTCACCCCAGGCAAACGTGATTATTATTGTACACAGGAGAGGAGTTGGTGCAAATGACTTTTACATGCTATTTAGTGTCAATTTAAATTCAAAAGGCCTCCATGGCTTGTATCTAGCATCTTTATTCCTCCTCCTTCCTTTCACTACATAGTAATTGCCCCAAAGGCTGTTGGTGTCAAGACATTAATGCCCATATAATTTTAATTCATCATATAACTTCAATCCTCTCTTTGAAATACCTTATTCCCTACCTTTTTTTTTTTATGGTTTTTCAAGACAGGGTTTCTCTGTGGTTTTGGAGCCTGTTCTGGAACTAGCTCTTGTAGACCAGGCTGGTCTCAAACTCATAGAGATCCACCTGCCTCTGCCTCCCAAGTGCTGGGATTAAAGGCGTGCGCCACCACCGCCCGGCTTATTCCCTACCCCTTATAACTATGTTCCAACATCATGGAGGGGTTTTCGTGTCCATAAAATGAATCTTTCTTGGATACCTACTGTATGCATAGAGCAGTCCAAGGTGCCCAAGATGCAGCCCTTCCTTCCTTAAGAGTCTAGTAGTGGTTTTAGCCGGTATTTGGAGGAAGGCGACATATTTCTTCTCCTCTCTGCCTCCTTCTTCTTGGTTTTTCGAGACAGGGTTTCTCTGTGGCTTTGGAGCTTGTCCTGGAACTAGCTCTTGTAGACCAGGTTGACCTCAAACTCACAGACATCCATGTGCCTCTGCCTCCTAAGTGCTGGGATTAAAGATGTGAACCATCACCACCCAGCAAGACAGGGTTTCCTTGTGTAGTCCTGGCTGTCCTGTAACTCACTTTGTAGACCAGGGTGGCCTTGAACACCAGCCTCTGCTTCTCGTGCTGGGATTAAAGGTGTGCACCCTCAACACCCACCTAAGGCAACATATATTTTATCTGGTTCTCATTCATGGAACTCCTCTTTACTAGGTCTTTGGGGACTCAGTTTTTAGAACAGTGATTATTCTCTCATTATACCACCAGAATGACAGCTAAAGTTCCAGCCATCAGTGTCTCCCTCTGAAGAGCTCAATGGCAGCACTGGAAAAGAACAGAAATCAAACACTCCATTAAGAGACTAGGGGTGGGAGGTGTATCTCAGTGGTGGAGTACTGGCATGCACAAAGCTCTAAGGGCCGGGAGGACAGCAGCACGCCTGATGGTTAATCTTCACTGTCTTCTTGACTAGATTTCAAGCCATTTGGAGACACACTCTGGGTGTGCCTGCGAGGGTGTGTCCAGAGTGACTGGAGTGAGTAAAGGCCTATCCTGTATGTGGTTTGAAACCCCACACACACCACACACATATCACACACACACCACACACATATCACACACACATATCACACACACACATACAACACACAATATCACACACACACACACATGCACACACGCATGCGCGCGCACACACAGACACACACACACAGACACACACAGACACACACACACAAGAAATACGTTAAATAGCATTTAACAAAGTCATATGTTTAGGTATAAAATTGACAAGCGATGGACTTGTAATGATTGATTCGCTGTCAACTGATCCCCTGGGAAGCACATCTATGAGGGTGTTTCCAGAGAGATTTAGTAGAAGAAAGACCCATCTTGAATGTGAGCAGCCCCATCCTATTGGCTGGGGTCCTATACAGAGTGAAAAAGGAAAAAGTGAGCTGAGTACTGGCAGTCATCTCTCTCTGCTTCAAAGAAAAATTCTCTTGTAAAACCTTATTATTAAAAAAAAAAACCCTTGCAACTAAAAAACAAAATCACATGCAGAAACGAACCAGACCCAAAGTCTACACACCTTAACGAACGTTTACACAGTTAGAACAGCCTTTCTGAAGCTGTAGAACTTCCTGTTGGATTTTACACTTTCTGCTTTGGGGTTATGGAGACAATGTGACCAGTTGCCATGTGTTCCTGCTGTTCCTTCTCTTGCTACCACACTTTCCCCCACCACAATGGACCGTGCTCTCAATCCATGAGCCAAAACAAACCCTTTAATCTTCTGCTCGCTTTTGCCAGTGCATCAAGAAAAGTAATTGCGTGTGCTGGCTAGGTTTTCGTCAACCCGACACACTCTAGGGTCATCTGGGAAAAGGAACTTGAGTTAAGTAAATGTTTCTATAAGATTGGCCTGCACACAAGTCTCTGGGAGCATTTTCTTGCTTAATGATTAATATGGGAAGGTGCCGTTCACTGTGGGCAGTGCCAACCCTGGGCAGATGGGGTTGGTGTAAGAAAGCAGGATGAACAAACCACAAGGAGCAAGCCAGTACTTAGGACTTCTCCATGGCCTCTGCTTCCGTTCCTGCCTCCAGGTTCCTGCCTTGTGTTACTTCCCTGGCCTTCTCCCGAGGATGGAGTGTAATCCTCAAAATGAAATAAACTCTTTTCTCTGCAAGTTGCTTTTGGTCTTGGTGTTTATATAGTAATAGAAACCTACTTAGGACGTACAGCAAGCACAAGGGACTAAATCACTTGTCAGAAGTTTGGCTCTCTCTCCTGGCCCCTGTTCTTTTCATCAGCTAGAATCCCTAAGCCATACAAGGAAGAGAAGGGAGTGCAAGACCCCTTTGCTGTGGCTTCTCACCTCATTCCTGGCTTGTACCCTGTTCTGTCTATCAGTGCCGTGCATGGGGCTGGGACAAGAGACAGGTAATGATTCCTACCAGACACCAGAGCACACTCCTAAGATGTTAACTTGGCCCTAGTTCTCCTTCCCCTTTTATTTATTTGCCTTGAGGTGGAGGCCTTTGTGGGTGTTTCTCCTGTTTTTACATTAGCTTCCTAGCATCCTTATTCCTCTTCCTCTGTAGCACAGTCAGGGTATGTACGCAGAAGGGGCTCGCTTTTCAAGGATGCTTTTACCTTGAAAGTGGGCGCAGGCTAAGAGGATGGCCGGGCCAGGGTGTGAGCCAGGTGAACAGAAAGGTCATCTCATTAAGGAGTATGGACATATGCACTCATGACTGTCCTCTCCTCTTGGGCTCTCAATCTCCTGGTAATAAATTCCAAACTTTCCAGAGGTGGGGTATGAGGTAGACCAGATAGAGGAGGGAATGTTAAGCAAAGGTTGGAGTCCAGGGCCAGTGAGTTTATCTTTACCTGTGCTATTTACACAGCAAAGGTTCTGGTAGGAAATTAACAGGAAATTACAGAGACTTTAAAAACAAAAACCAGGCAGAATGCCAAGAATCTTTTTTCTTCCTGGCCATCCACACCCCAGGAAGCAACATAAACCAACGAGAGTTCTTCTTTCTGGTGTTCTATGGCTGCAATCGGAGACTGGGATTTCTGAAACCATTTGCCCTTGCTGTCTGCTTTCAGCAGGATTTCAGTGAGGATTAAGGGTAACAAAAAAGGGTTAGTTTGGAAAACAAAGGGCACATTTTTGACCCCTTTTCATGGTGCCTCCTTCCTCTTCCTTGTTTCCTCTC